TACACACATGCATATATTTAGGGACTTCTCTATGTGTGTGTCTGTATGTATATAGCTTATATTAAGAGAGAAGTGCTATTTACTTATGAATTATTCCAATTTATTTTAATTTCTCCTCTTGTCCAAAATCCGCCCCCCTGCCCCGGTACTGTACACAGTTAGATCATAAAGGAACTTACCTGACAATGCTTATGCCACAAACCTGGGTCTCCCACCAATTTGTCTAGTCCTTTTCTCATTACACTCCTCTGTTTCCCATTTTTTCTCCAAGAACAAAGAAAACAAAGCTATCTTCATCCCTGGGCCTTGAGCTCTGGGACTCTCCCTGACTCCCAGAGTTTAGCAGGTGCTTTTCCAACTCATACAAGGGGAGCTCAGTAATATTTGTGGAATTACTGAATAAATGATAAACTCCTTGAGGGCAAGGATATGCTTTTCTCCTTTCTGTATGCTTGCCCAGTGCCTTGTATACAACAAACTCACATAAACGTGCTGAATGCATTAGAGCAGAACAAGCGTGGTTACCTAGCGTAGCACTGGTGGGAATGCTGGCTCTCTGTCTTGCTAGCTGTGTGCCTTTGGTGGGGTGGGGGTGTAATTTGCTTAGCTCTTAGGATTCGGTTTCCTCATCTGTTAAATGGGGATATTATATTATACCTTCTCAGTCTCAAAAGCTTGCTGTGAAGATTGAGAGGCACCCAGCATAGGATCTAGCACATAGTAGGGGTTAAATTAATGTTTGGTCCCTGATTTTCCTTCTTTGATTTGACTGCCAACTCTCATCTGGGGGCATCTGCTGGAGAGGAGTCAAGTCAGGCTTTGCTGTCAGTCGCAGACTGGCCCCTGCACCCTTCCTGCCTGCCACAGCCATCGCCTGGTGGTTCCCGAGGCGCGCTCGCATCTGCTCTCTCTGGTCTGAGGACTTGCCCAGCAGCCTGGGGCTTGGGAGTGGGTTCCCCATTTCTGCTTCCAGTTTCCGTCCCTGGGCATTCCCCTCTCTCCGGGGCCTTTGGGAGTCTCTGACTGGTGGGAGAAGCCAGGGGTTGGGGGGCTTTTTTCACTCTTGGTTTTGTTTGCTTGGATTTTGACAGAGTATCTTGAGGCTAAAGGTTACATTACCATCTCTTCATAGCTCTATTGCTGTCTTTCTGTGCTGGATCCAGAGGAAAGGAAGCTTCCAGCCCTAATTCTCAGTGTTGGGACCTTCCCTCTGGAGAACGCTGGGCTGATTTTACTGAGATGTCCTCCTCCTGCCTCTTCTACTGCCTGCTTTCCTGGTCACGTCCAGCTCAGTTTAAAGGAAATGCTTTTCTAGACCAGGACCTCATGATGGTGGGAGGGTGGTGTCCCCCGCGTGCAGAGTTGGGACAGGAGTCACGGTGTGCAGAGTCGCAGGACGATGTCTGGTCCCCACCCAGGACCCGCCCAGACAAGCTGGACATGGGACAAGGGCGCCTGCAGTACAGGGGCTCCCGTGACTCCCGGTCTCCAGTTTCCTGCAGGGAAGGGAAGAGCAGTGCCCTAGGCTCCTGGTCAGTGTTGCACACTATTGGGACTTTACCTTGAGTCACTTCCTCTCTCTGTGCCTCAGTTTCCTTATCTGTAAAATAAGGGGAGACTAGATTAACACCATCCCCTTCTGAAGACTGTGATTTACCACCAAAGCACCATTATCTTTCATTGGTTCAAAAATATTATTTTTAGGAGCCTTTGACATTATCAAGTCTGCCTGTAAGGGAAGCAAAAGTACAAAACATGAACCCGGCCTCAAGTTATCCAGAATCTATTTGAAAAGACAGATCATATGATGTCTAGAAGTTATCAAGAGAGTGTCCTCTAAGTGGCAAATTATGTAGTTCAGTTTTAAGTGTGATAGGACTTCGAAAGAGAAAGAACACTGATGTCTGGGACAGTCCTGGGAGGCTGCCTGAAAAAAGTGGACTTGAAGCTGTTTCTTGAACAATGGGTAGACGCATGCAGGCAGTAATGAAAGGACTGGGCACAGGCGATGATATAATAATGCAACACAAAAGAAAGAAACAGAGATGCGAGAATGGGTTTGATTTATCTGCATCACGTTGAGACTTGGATTGCCAAAGGAGAGGACAGTTTCCTGAGAACTGTGGAAGGGTGGTTGGGGGAGTGTGTGTGGGTGTGGAGCGCTTTTCGCACCAGGCTAAGGAGTCTGGGTTTCATCCATAGGAGGAGGGAGCCAGTAGATTTCTAACCAACAAAGTATATGGATTATGAGGCAAAATTGGAACCCTCTACCCTGAAGGCAGAGTTAATATTCATAAATGTGTGGAAGGATGTGTTTGTCTGGCTTTTCCACGAAGCAGACACCAACATGAGGCTAGGTGCGTGAGAGACATACTAGGGACAGATAAGATGGAGGGAGGGAAGGAGTGTGGTCCCAGTGCTGGGTAAGGAGACCGACAGATGGGAGCAGCTCTGGGTGCTTCGAAGGGCTTTCCAGACTCAGCTGTTTGTTAGAAGCTCTGTTACTTACGTGGAACTCTTACCCCAATGTCACTTTCTGTTTTCTATGTGGATTTTGCACTTTCTGGAAATCATTTGCTGTCCCTGAAGGCTTGATGTTGGGAGAGAATGGAATGGTCTAACTTGCTCCTATAGAGCTGTAGGTGGGTGTTCTGACCTATTTCTAGAAGAGTAGAGTTTGGAGTTTGTGTCTCGAATTTGGAATGGTCTGCACATAGCCACCCATGTTTATGTGGTCACTGTGAGGATGACTTTGTAGATGAAAAAAAGGGGAGAGGAACTCTGGTGTCTGTGTGTAATAATTCAACAATCAGGAATTAGCAGCACTTTGCTAGGCATGTTGTTGGGGAGGAGGTGGATAAGTCCCTTATCTGCATTAGCCCCTGAGCTTATTTTTAACAAGTGAGAAAACTCCACCTGAATGGGAGCAGCAAGGGTCACTGAGTGACTGTGGAGAACAATTCTTTGCATAGAATGCATGCTTCTTGTTGTGCTTTGCTAACCATACAGATAGCTTGGTTAGATTCTACTGTCCTACAAATACCAAGCCATTGTTATTGTTCTTGGCTTGCCTGTCTCTTGACATCCCACCACTTCCCATCACAGGATGTCACCTGAGAGGAGACCCCAGAGCTTTGCAGTCATGGCCCTGCTGAGAAGTTGAATGTCCCAAACCAATTTTGCTGTGGACTTTCTTTGACCCATAATGGGTCACATCCTTGCTTCTAATTTTTTTTAGTTTATATAAAAGAAATGGTGCTGACTGACCCCATGGGGTGTTGGATGAGGATAAATCTCAGAGTGAGTGTTTTCTCTTCAATTAAGTGCCATAAAAGTGTTCAATATAATGGCTGATTATTTTTCCTTAATCTTCAATGGATCCCTAGAATGGGAAAGCCCCATCTTGGTAGCAGAAATTCATTATCTCAGAAAGAGTTTAATAGCTGCTGTGCAAATGAACTGGAGGAAGTTAAATTGTGGAATGGGAAGGAGCTGAGAAAAGTGAAATGAGTTGTGCATTAAATTTAGATAAACACAATTATGTGTAACTGGATTATCTTGCGTGCAGGCAGGCACTGTATATTAGGCACCTGCATTTTGATTAAAATCGATTCAGGTGCATACACTTAGCTTCCTTGTAGATACGGAATTGTGCCTAAGCCCTGCCCTGGCATGTGAGGGGCAGGCAGGGAAACATCTGGTGGCCAAGTCTCCAGCTGGAGAAGTTTAAAGAGCACAAGGCCAGACCAACCAGCGCAGGAGTATTTCAGAAAACTGCTAACCCTGTTCCAGGCAGCTCCAGCTCCCTGTCGTGTACAGCTTTCCTCTGGGTTTCTTGGTTTCAGCTGGAGTAGGGAAAGCAGTCCTGGAGTCCAGTGACCCCCTTACTCCACGTTAGGGACAGATGCCATGGTAGATGGCAGGTGGCATCAGAGGATGCTGGGGACTGGACCTGCCTGCCACTTGAGTGTTTCTGGCTACTGAGGCCCTAATGATGGAAACAAAATCTCTGACCTCCTCTGTAGACAGACAGAATCAGGCCAACTTCCTTCTTATTCTTTTAGGTTCAGGTCTGTTATCAAGTTCAAGCTCATGCCATTTGCTGCACAAGTCGAGAGACAAGGTGTTGGGGCAAGGAAAGCACCTTTATTTGGAAAGCCAGCAGACTGAGAAGTTGACAGATTAACGTCCTAAGGAACCATCTTAATTTAGGGTTGATTTCAAGCTTCTTTTGTATTAGGGAGGGAAGAGCAGGAGGGGGAGGTCAGGAGGTGATGACTGACCTCAGACATCTGGACGTCGGCAAGGGTCTGAGGCGGCTGGTGAAACTCCTTGTCCCTGGTTGGTTGACTCCAGCCGTTTTGTTGACACGGACCTGGCCATGACGTTTCTATAAGGCCTTGACAATCCATTTGTTGTTTTTATACAACGGGGGAGGTGAGTTTCAGGCAAGGGCCTATTTGCATCACTCTCAAACCTTGAGCAAAACTCCTTTTGATGATTAACAAGCCTTTGTGCAGGGCTGCAGGGCTGAGCAGAAGCTTTTTGGCCCAAGATTAAGGCACTAAAGGAGACAGAGGCAATATGAAGGCAGAGATGCCAAGCCTTTGCAGTCTACAACAGGTCTGCAAGTCAGAGTTATCTCCACTCTGATCTCTGGGTGGCCATACGAGCGCACAAAGCCAGCGGGCCTGTGCCTGACCTTGAAGGAGGACAGATGTGGAGGAACAACTGTCGATAGCCAGTTAATTCCTGTTGGCATGTTTTATTTCAAATGCAAATCATTGTTGGGATTAAAATAAATGCTACTAGTTATGGGGATGCATTAAATTAAAAACTGTTTTCCCTTGCTTGATCCTATAATACCCCTCAACTTAATGGATAAACGCTAAGCCCTCCCCCTGGGTGATATGAGATGCACAGTATATTGTTACACAAACTAAAGTAAGCTTCCTTTCTTCCCTTTGTCCCTCTCCCGTGCCCTCCTCAACCCCTCACAGGTCATACTTATCCTGACGAAGCTCTATGACTTCAACCTGGGGAGTGTGACGGAGAGTTCCTTGTGGAGGTGAGTGGATTAGAAATTCTTAACAAACTCCTCTGGCTTGGTTCACATGAGGAATGCCAGCTAAGCAGTGGGGAAGCATGTTTTGGAAGGAGAAGGCCCTCCTCCTGGAAGCCCTTTTAAATGCCCCAGGTGGAACTGAGGGCCCCACGTGCAAATGCCCTTAGCACTCCCCTGCTCTCCTGGGGCCTGTCACACATTCTCCTTGGCAGTGTTGTCACTTCTGCATTCTGGTGGTGTCCCATTCTGCTTGGAGAACACGGGTATGGCCTGGAGAGCTCAGAGGAGCATGCCTGGAACACGCAGACGCTGTGGATGAGGGAGCCTCCTGTCGGAGGGAGTGCGTTGCCTGGGGAGTGAGTCTGGGCCCAAGGCCTGCCTTCAGTCCTTCATGTCTGCGAGAGACTGCAGTTCTCCAGAGGCCCATGCTTATGGCCACAGACGCACATGGGGCTCAGTTCTGCATGCTGACTTTCACAGTCTCTGGGCTCTTTTGCTTTCATGGGCTCCTTCCTGCTAAGATAATATTTAAAAATGTATTTTATGATGGCGTTGGTATGAAGACAAGTATATTAATATAGAATATTAGAATGCTCTTTTCAGCTTGAAAGTTCATTTTTTTGTTTTGACTTTAAAAAATGAAAACGTGTTTGTGGGCCCCTAGAAGGAATGTACACCCTGGGCTCTGTGCCCATTGTACCTGCTGGGTAAGTCAGCTCTGATGCGATGCCGGGCACATGGGACAGGGAGAAGAAGGTTGTGGGCAGGGTACATCAGAGAGGGCTTGAATGAAGCCATGGCCTAGGAGGCTCCCTGGAGAGGGAGCGCTGCGCTCCGTATTCCTCCTCACACACACACGCACACTCGGGCTCACAGCCGCTCTGCTGGCAGTCACACGGGGCAGCGGGAAGTTTCATCAGACCTTGGGAGTCCGGGCGACACGCTCTGCGCTCATTCTGTCCATGGGACTCGCGAGGGCTGTAGTTATTCCGTTCGCTTTGTCATGTGTAAGCACCGGGGAGGACGCTGTCACGAAAGGCCACTTGCTTGGCTGTGCCATCATCCGAGAGCCCAGCCTGAGGGTTTCCTGGAGTCCCGGATCAGACGGGTGTGGGGCTGAGTATCTGTGTGCCTCGCGGCTTTTTCATCTGACCTGTTTGTTTGCAGATGACGAGGCAGCCTCTCTCCCAGAAAGGAGGAGCAGTCACTGCGTCTATTAAATGTTTAGGGGTTAATTGCTCATATTGACTGAGCCCTGCCTCCATTTGCACAGGATGTCCAAAATCTAATTTTGCTGCTCAGTGAAAATTGGCAGAGGTGTAAGTAACCAGGGAGCCTCTAATAGATGAAAGCAAGCCTATTTCCACTCACGTGGGACTCGTAGGGAGGCAGAGCCTCAGAAACCTTCCCCTCAGGCCCAGTCACGGTGATCCTGTGGTTGATACTTAAGCCTGACTCCTGTGCTGTCTGCTTGGTGCAAATAATGAACAAGCCAGAAAACCCTGTCCTTATAATGGGAACAGCTTACCTGGAAACCTGTGTTTCAGGAGCGGTTTGGCTAGGTCTGGGGTGGGCCAAGCAAAGCCAGGAGCTGAGGCCAGGTGTTTAATGCTAGAAGCCCTGAAATGGCAAAGTGTGTGTCTGCGGTCCTGAGAGCCAGTACATTCACTGGTTGTGTTCTGAAGACAGAAAACAGGTGAGTGGCCCTGACGGTAGCCTAATGTCCAGTGGCCAGGTTGGGCCCCCGCTTGCTCACCAGAGTGCTGGGGAACTTTGGGTGCTTTAGTTACCCTCACCATAGCAGGTTCCTAGGGCTGCCATAATAAAGTTCCACAGACCGGGTGGCTTAAGACAGCAGCAATGTATTATTTCCCAGTCCCAGAGGCTAGAAGTCTGAAATCAAGACGTCTTTAGGGCCATGCTCTCTCTGGAAGCGCTAGGGGGAAGCCCTCCTTGCCTCTTCCAGCTCCTGGGGGGCTGTGGGTATTCCCTGCGGCTGCCTCACCTACTCCCTGCCTCCATCAGCCCCACGTGGCCCTCCCTTCTGGATCCATGTCTCCCCTTCTTTTCATTATAAGAACGCTTGCCATTGGCTTTAGGGCTCACCAGAATAATCCAGGATGATTTCATCTTGACATCCTTAATTACACCTGCAAAGGTCCTTTTTCCAAATAAGGTTTGAATATAGGTTCTGGGTTTTAGGATGTTGGACATATTTTTTTGTTGGTGGGGGCCTTTCATTCAATCCATTCACTTTCTAAGTCTTGGTTTCCCTGCATGTAAGTTGGAGGTAGTACAGAACCTGCCTTTGCTCCGGCCACATTGTCCTTGCTGTTCCTCAGACACACTGACTTCTCTTCCCCAGAGGCCTTATGTCCCTCTTCCCCTGCCCGGCTCTCCTCACTTCTACGTCCTCTCTGTCCACCTAATCATGGAGGCCTTTTCTGGGGGCCTCATATTCCAGCACTGAGCTGCCTTGTCCTCCTTAGCATTTACCACCATTGTAATATTTACATACTGATTTATTTATTGTCTACCTACACCCACTAACATCTTGCAGAGACAGAATTTTTTTTCCATTTTAATTCAGTGCTGCATCTAGAACAGTATCTGGCACACAGGAGGTACTTCCTAAATGTTTGCTCAATGAGTAAATTAATGGATGGATTCCAAGGATTAAATGAAATAATAAATATACAGACACTTAGGGCTGTAACTCACATGTAGGAAGTGCTCACTTAATTGTAATAATTGATGATTATTATAATCCTATATGTTTATATTATTTTCATTCCATTATGGACTTTGTCTATAAGGATCTGTTTTACAGCGGCCCACGTGATGGAAATTGTAGGGCCCCTAGGGAATGCATTCTGTGTTACCTAGGAGTTAGTAAAGATCTTCCTGAGTGAAGGCAGGGATTAGGGAAGGGGAGAGTGATTTAGATTGTCTTCCCTCATGCTGATTAGCTGGAAGTTGAAATGTCAGTTTCAACCTAGTTAAAGGTGTTCCTTTGTAGACAAGATTCTCTAAACTGGGTCTTGGAATGATGGGTGAGATACATTTTGGCAAGTGGAAAGTGGAAAAACAGCCCCACCACAGGGAAAAGGCTAGGCAAGGCTGGGCTGCAGGAGCAAAGGGAGCCAAGCAGGAGGCAGAGACCGCAGCTGGGTGTGGGGCCAGATGAGGAGGTGTGGGGACTCATCAGGTTCACGGAAGAGGCCAAACCAAAGAGGGTTCCTCCGAGCATAGTGTGCAGATAACAGAGTCATATGGTGTGACCTTTTAGGGATTTGAAAAGATAGTGGTTATCATGGGCTTTCTCTCTAGATACATGCTACATATGAATGTATTTTTGTGTTGTGTTTCAGAGGGTTCAAGGGTCTGATAAAGTCCAGCATAGGAACCCCTGGGGAGAACATGATTGAGGAAAGGGGCTGCTCCAAAGCTTTGTGGGCATATTCCAACATGCTGGAGACTCCTAACTTCTTATTGTCTTCCCTACTCACCCCCTAAAGACCTGTGTTTCCCATCTTTTTTCTGTACTGATAATGATGGTGTATTTTACAGTTAGAGGCTAGAGCACTGTGAGCTTCCTCACTAATACGGTGTGTAGAGAAAAGAAACGGAATGAAACACCCGCCCTATCCTTCATGTCTGCGAGAGACTGCAGTTCTCCAGAGGCCCATGCTTATGGCCACAGACGCACATGGGGCTCAGTTCTGCATGCTGACTTTCACAGTCTCTGGGCTCTTTTGCTTTCGTGGGCTCCTTCCTGCTAAGATAATATTTAAAAATGTATTTTATGATGGCGTTGGTATGAAGACAAGTATATTAATATAGAATATTAGAATGCTCTTTTCAGCTTGAAAGTTCATTTTTTTGTTTTGACTTTAAAAAATGAAAACGTGTTTGTGGGCCCCTAGAAGGAATGTACACCCTGGGCTCTGTGCCCATTGTACCTGCTGGGTAAGTCAGCTCTGATGCGATGCCGGGCACATGGGACAGGGAGAAGAAGGTTGTGGGCAGGGTACATCAGAGAGGGCTTGAATGAAGCCATGGCCTAGGAGGCTCCCTGGAGAGGGAGCGCTGCGCTCCGTATTCCTCCTCACACACATACGCACACTCGGGCTCACAGCCGCTCTGCTGGCAGTCACACGGGGCAGCGGGAAGTTTCATCAGACCTTGGGAGTCCGGGCGACACGCTCTGCGCTCATTCTGTCCATGGGACTCGCGAGGGCTGTAGTTATTCCGTTCGCTTTGTCATGTGTAAGCACCGGGGAGGACGCTGTCACGAAAGGCCACTTGCTTGGCTGTGCCATCATCCGAGAGCCCAGCCTGAGGGTTTCCTGGAGTCCCGGATCAGACGGGTGTGGGGCTGAGTATCTGTGTGCCTCGCGGCTTTTTCATCTGACCTGTTTGTTTGCAGATGACGAGGCAGCCTCTCTCCCAGAAAGGAGGAGCAGTCACTGCGTCTATTAAATGTTTAGGGGTTAATTGCTCATATTGACTGAGCCCTGCCTCCATTTGCACAGGATGTCCAAAATCTAATTTTGCTGCTCAGTGAAAATTGGCAGAGGTGTAAGTAACCAGGGAGCCTCTAATAGATGAAAGCAAGCCTATTTCCACTCACGTGGGACTCGTAGGGAGGCAGAGCCTCAGAAACCTTCCCCTCAGGCCCAGTCACGGTGATCCTGTGGTTGATACTTAAGCCTGACTCCTGTGCTGTCTGCTTGGTGCAAATAATGAACAAGCCAGAAAACCCTGTCCTTATAATGGGAACAGCTTACCTGGAAACCTGTGTTTCAGGAGCGGTTTGGCTAGGTCTGGGGTGGGCCAAGCAAAGCCAGGAGCTGAGGCCAGGTGTTTAATGCTAGAAGCCCTGAAATGGCAAAGTGTGTGTCTGCGGTCCTGAGAGCCAGTACATTCACTGGTTGTGTTCTGAAGACAGAAAACAGGTGAGTGGCCCTGACGGTAGCCTAATGTCCAGTGGCCAGGTTGGG